ACTATCATGTATTAGTAATTTTAAAAAAATAAAGTGATGAAATAAAGTGACAAGAACTGAGATCTTAATCACCACAACTGTATTTGATGACATTTTGGAAAATTTTAAACCTGGTTCTAAAATTCTTATACAAAATAGTACCATTGAAACAGAAAAAAAATGAAATTTCTGTAGAAGAAGTGAAAAAAATATGGAGGCAATTAATAACATAGTTTGTCACAAAAAAGAAGAAGACTAAAAAAACAGTACCTAGAAAACAAAGAGGAAGAAAATTTTGCCAAATTTTTTTTCAGAAAATATGGTAAGGAAAAGTGAAAAATCAAACCTAAGTTTTTTAAAACAAAAAAACTATAAAAAACACCAAAAAAACTCTGTGTTCTCCAGCAAAAAATATTGATGGCGCAAATATAAAAAGAAAAGCGGAGATAGAATAAAAACTCAAAAACTTTTTTGTGGACGTTGGAAAATTTTTAGCAAAAAAACTACCCAGCACATGTATCAAATTTTTTAATAGTTTCATCGGAAAATCATTTCCTTTGAAACCAACAAGCGATTGTGGTGTTTTTATTACAACAGCACAATTTTAAAAGAAAAATTCTTGTAGGTTTTAATGAGCTAAGCAATTATATTTGAAAACCGTCCTTGTGTCAGCTTCTAGCTTTTTTCATCTACAAAAGTCTTGGAAAATAAATTATTTTTCTGACAAATTGGGACACAGTACTTAGATGATGGTTAAACTATACAAATGTCTCGCTCGTTAAACGCTATTAAACAATGCGTAATGTTTATCGTTGCAAATGCCTTTTTATGTATCTGAATTAGTTTGTGGTTTGAAATTGATGAAATAAAAATAAATTCTCCGCATTTACGCATTATTTAGCTGAATTAGCTTGCTTCAGTTAAATTTTTAGATTTTTTTGAGCCGGAGTAGTCTTTTAATTGTGCGACGCCTTACGAAAAAAATCTGCTAAAAAGTGCACATTAGTTGTCTCAATTTTCAGACTCTAATAATTTTGCGACAAATGATCACAGGTGAATTGCTTTTTAATGATAGTCTCAGGACGTCAATATCTTTTAGACAGTATAATAATGTTCTCACAAAAATATCTAATTTTGAAATCAAAATTTGCCTAGAGATAAAATTAACCCGTGCAGAAACTTTCTGGTGAAATTCTCGGCAGCTTTTGTTCCTTTCACATTTTGTCTGAAATTAAACCAGTTTGAGAAAAACGCGTTTGAAATTTCGATTGAAATAATTTTTGCAATAATCATGGGGCGGGACTGCAACAGAACCGCCAATGCAAAATATTCTAAGCAAAACAAAAGGTCTCTTTAATTACTCCTTCATATTGAAAAAAAAGAAACTTTTCGTAATAGGTTTACAAAGTCCACTGATGCTTAACCATTGATTCAGTTGTTGGTTGCTTTTTCTTCAGTACCGTGGGTAGGGAGATGGATACAGAAATCCGAAGTTTGAATATGATACATCTTTGATTATCTGATAATTTTGAGGCAACAATTTTAACTATTTCAAAAAGCTCGTAAGGCTTTTCATGTGCGTGAAACTGCCCTCTTGATTAACCTGGCTTAAGTGTAAAAATAAATCTGGAACTTGAATACCCGGTTGTGAGTAAGAAGTGCTGAGGCTCTCAACACAATTAATTTTGCAAGTAACAATATCTATTAAAAAAGGATAGCCTGTTACGGTGCAAGTAGCTCAGAATGTTCCGACCACAGTCTTAACAAAATACAAAACGGTTTTCTCAAACTGGTGTCGTTTTTATCTGCATGTTGTGATTAAAAAAATTGAACGAAAAAATGAAATTTAAACATATTTGAGAGTCATATAGAATAATTCAATTGAGAACCAGTTTTTGAAGAAAATTGACTAGAAAAACGGCGAAAAAAGCAAAAAAATCTCAAAAATTTTTGCGGAAATTTTTTGAATTTTCAAGTTTTTGATTCCCAAATTTTGCTAAGAACTCCAAAAACTACCTGAATCTGGGTGAAACTAATTTTTCACGGTTTAAGTTAAGCTAAAATAAGCTATTGCAATTACTAACTATCTTACTATTTAGCTCGAAGTTAGACCAAAAATAGAAAGTTTCAAACCAGTTTTTCTCGACACTGTGAAAACTTTTTCAAATTTCATTAAAGTCGTTCACGACTGAAAGGGCTAGAATATGATATATCACTCTATCCGATGATTATTTGTGGTAGCTGATTTTGGGTGGAAGAAACTAAAGCACACTCGAATCCAGAGTTCAATGGTCGGAACAACAACAACGATTTTATCAATTTTTAGCGGTTATAGCTTAAAAAATACATCATTTTGAAGAGTGGTTGTTTCTCTAGAATCGCACCCAAAAACAAAAATTGTTCCCGTTTTGTAGCTAAAAAAAATTACCAACAGTTATTGAAACATCTGATCAATCTAACAAACATTTCGACTTCTTGATTATACAATTTCAAGAATTTTCTAATCATTTGCTATCAGTTCCAAGATTATGAAGACATTGATTGCAAGGGCTCTAGCAAACAAAAAAGAAAAACTTGTATGATGGCTCTCTGATTTTCTTTTGTTCAGAAAAAGAATATATATGAGAAGTGTTTCTCTTATGAGTCGCAAACTATCAGCACTCACAATGCTGGGATAAATTTTTCAAATTCAACATGCTGATTCATAATTTCTCAAATGATTATCGTTAACATATCCTGTAAATATATGAAAAATGTTCGTTTGATATACTATTTGATTAATCTGAAAACAAAACAATGAAACACATCATATATAAAAAAAAATCAAAACAACAAAAAACGAATTTTATCATTCAGCACATACCTTCATTGTACTGATTTTCAAAAATCTACTGTAACTCATAGATGATAATTTTTTATACTACTTGAGTTTGCTTAGGATATTTATCGAAATAAACTATTAACACCAAAAGCAGAAAAGTTGGAAAGTTAATGATTGGTTTCCATTTACAGTTATAGAGGTTAAAAACATTGTATCTTTGAAAAATCTTGAAGCAAAAATAGGTAGACATTATTAATATGCAGAATGAGTTATTGGCAGACAAACTATGCTGCGAATGTCAGGGGCGCTTCCTTGAAATTTTAAATGACCCAGTGAGGTTTTAACCACTCAGACCATCAAATTCAGCCTTGTATGAATTTGATGGTCTGAGCACTTTACCGCTTTGTTTGATAAACCGCTTTATCTCATATGAAGTAATGTTTGCCGAAAACCTATGTGGTTGTGTTTTTTGTCGCAATGCTTCTTGAAATTATAATTGTAAAAGCTACATTTTTTATTCTAGTATAAATAGCAAATTATATTTTTTTCTCACAAAGAGAGATTTTTTTGAATAGAAAAAGAATAAATTCAGTTCACCAGCGGATTCAGGGTGGTGGGCGCGGGGGAGGGGGTTGGGGAATAGTGGGTGGACTACAAAATCCACTTAGGCGCCAAAATAAGTTCATTAAAGCTTCATTTTTTCCGTTAGTTTATTTAGCAATTTAAATTTTGTTCTCACGAAGAGAGCTTTTTATGAACAAAAAAAAACAACTTGAGTTCACCACCGGATGCAGGGAGGTGGGGTGAGAGAGGGGAGTGGGTGGACGCTAAAAACCACTTAGGCGACAAAATTTGCTAACTTTGAGGGGGAGTACACTTTTTTGTTAAAATTTCCCTAAAAACAATTTTTGGACGAAATAGGTTCTTTGTAGTGCTTCGCAGAGCTCGGAAAATCAATTAGGTCGACCTTAAAAAAATCGACAAAATCCTCCCTGATCTGATACATATGTTAATTAAACAAGTCATCCAGTAAGTTCTCGGAAAAATGTCCCGGAATGAACAAAATCTATTAGATTTTTCAGCAAGAACTATTTTATTTACCCTTTGAAACAACTAGCCATTAACTCTAAAGTGGCTAAGCCCTCATGGGTTTTCAAGCCTGAAATTCAAACATATCCTCCTGGACCAAAAAAATGCACAACGCTTTGCATGCTATAGGGTTGCAAGTTTGAACGACTTTTCGGAACGAGTGAAAACAGACAAATCAATGCTAATTATGTGTGCTGATTATGACCAGAATGAGAGCGTCGCGCACTCTAGAGTTATTGTTGAAATACTTACTATATGTTCAAAACATATTTGCTATATTTTTTTACTCAAAAACAAACAAAATTTTAAAGTGAATTATTAAAACTTCTATTTGAGCTTTCGAGTACGCAGGCGCCACCAAGGAATTTCTATAAATAAAATAGTAATGAGGTCAAATAGCCTAAAGTAGGTCCAAAATGCCAAGCAGCTAGCTTCGGCTAGCGTCTGTGTTATTAAGTTGTCGCAGTATAAACCTCTATGGCAAATTGAACTGTAGCTGATTCTAGGAGACGCCAAAAGTTATTTGCCATAGAGATTTATACTGCGACAGCTTAACAATACAGACGCAAGCCGAAGCTATCTGCTTGCCATTTTGGACCTATTTTAGGCTATTCAACCTATTTTATTTATAGAAACTCACTCTTCGTGGCGCCTGCATACTCAAGTAAGCTCAAGTAGGCTAAAGCTCAAGTAAAGTTTTAATAATTCACTTTAAAATTTTGTTTGTTTTTGAGTAAAAAAATATCGCAAATATGTTTTAAACAAATAGTAAGTATTTCAACAATAACTCTAGAGTGCGCGACGCTCTCATTCGGGTCATAATCAGCACACAAAGTGTTGGTTTGTCTGTTTTTACTCTTTCCGAAAAGTCGTTCAAACTTGCGATCCTGTAGCATGCCAAGCGTTGAGCAATTTTTTGGTCCAGGAGGATTCGTCGGCAAAATTTTGGTGTCAGTCGCTAGATACTTTGCCTGTTCATAAGCGTATAATGGGTCAATGCTAGACCCGCATTTTCATTTTGGCACAGCGACACTTTATAATGATCACTAAAAATGAAACAAAAAGCTATTGCGATTAGACCGTTTTTTTTTCAGACCACAATGGTGGTCAGTTAGCCGTATTATTAATATTTTTGAACAGCACAGATCAATAAGCAGACAAGTTGCCAGTTATTGCTTCTATAATAAAGTTTTTTCTTAAATCAGTGGTTACACGCCGTTGAAGTTTTAGTCACGTCATCGGCGTATTTTTTGAATTATATATACTTCTGTTCGTACAATTTACTTTTCGTACAATTTAACATTGCGATCTTTTATTTTACTCGCTAAAATGGGTCTGCTGCAGTAGCCAATTTCAAATTACATTTTTGCTTCTGAGAGGTAACACAGAACACTACATTCTAAGAACTTGATAAAACTCATGCAAAAATAAATCCTCGTGCTCTTATCAAAAAGAGCAACGTCTCGAACACGGAATCTTATTGTTTATATTAAATTCTTTTTACTCTCAAAATTCTTTGTTAGCCAGAAACTGGCGGAAAAATAATGAGACACAACTTGATATGAAGTTATATTATTTTCTGTAACATTTATACTACTTCTTCAGGTGATAGATATTTACAAGCGGTTGATACAAACATAAAAAAATATTCGTTCTATTAGCAATTTATCTATACTTCTGCGTGTAAAATGGCAGGGGAGGGAAGTGGTACGAGGGGTCACTTGAGGTGTCGAGTGTGTGTGGTTGGGGCGGGACCCAGTGGTCTGAACACTCTCCGGGCACTGCAGAGTGTGATAGGGGGCAGAAAAGTGCACGTGACCTGCTACGAGAGATACGACTCTATAGGGGGCATATGGAACTTCAAGTAAGCTGTTTTCAATAAGTGAGGCTGCAGAAAGACTAGGAACCCCTCGTGACAAAGGGACCGCATGTTAAGTAAAATTATATTCGATGTTATAAGACTTTAGTATTCGAAATATTATCCTAAAATTAGAGAATCAGTCAGCATAGGAGACACTGAATGCTTGCAAACCTGCTGTCTTTCAATAATTTTATACTGTTGCTATTTGGTCTGATTAATACGTTGAGACATAAGAAATATACTACTTTGTAATTTCATGAGGGAAGAATTTCGAAAAAAAATGTGAAAAAAGGAGAATTTAGTAGTTTTTTTAATGAAAGTTTTAAAAACTTTACCAGCTTACCAGCAGAAAATCCGCAGTACCCCGGGGGTACTGTTGGTGTGCGTTGGCAAGACAGTACTCGGTTAAATGCAAGAGTCGCGGACCAAAATCTGTGTTAGTGCAAATTTTTTTGAAACAATTTTTGATATTATGATTCAGTATCGCCTTTTTTATTATATTTTACTCTATGCGATCTGATGAGCATTTGTTTTTATGCTTTGATCTTGTTTTTTTCGGGTTACGCAATCGACATGTCCGAGTAAGTTTAGCATTAGCTTTTATCAGAGGTCGAGAGGGAATTGAAGAAGACGGCCTTGAAGTGCATTCGAGCATGTATGAGAACCTGGTCACGAATGCTCCCAAACCGACCATAGAGATACCCGAGTTCCTGTTTCCCGAAGACGGGCCAGAACTCTCGGGCCATCCCAGGTGGTGATATGATACAAACGTAGGCAAAAGGGATTGTTTTTAATTAGAAGAAAAGTGTAAATTGTAGATCTCGTCTTCTTTTGGTCCACAAATTTTTACCGTTCCACACCATAGCGTTTGACAAAAGGTGAAAATGAAAACAATTATAAAGTATTGATCTTTAGGGGCGTATCAGATGTTTTCACAAAAATATATGTTCTATGTACAAAACTAGCTGGTGATGTGTACATTAGTTTTTTCTAAAGCAAAATATATAAAAAATGAATTATGGCTCTGGAAAAAGACCTCCAATCCAATTCAATCCAAAAACATTCAGACTCTTTTTTCTCGACACTCGCATAAAAAGTTTTCCGCGTAGTAAATTCACAAACCACGCCTGAAATGGCTTCAATATAGATACACATATCATTGACACCATCTGTAGTCTGTTTGTGGTATCTGGAGGTACCGCCTTTTTGGAGGTCCTAACAATCTATTGAGTTTTAATTTTTGTAAAAAGTTGTTATTTTTCACCTGCTGGTTACCCTAAAATTTGAAGAAAAAAGTAGTATCTTATCACTTTTCCTCAGTTTTCCTACTCAAGACTATGTGCTTAATTACTTGAAAGGATTCGTGCACCAATTTAAATTGAATCAGTACATCCACTTCAAAACATGGGTTCAACACGTGAGGTTCGACAAAGGGTCAGAAAAGTTCATAGTGACGGTGAAAGACTTGCAGACATCAAAGGAAAGAGAGGAGGACCCGTTCGATTACGTCATAGTTGCGACTGGACATTTCAACTACCCCAATTATGTTCGATATCCAGGACAGGAAACGTTCAAGGGAAAAGTGATTCATTCCAAGCAGTTTTTGGAAGCGAGAAGATACAAAGGTTCGAGATTTCGATTTGAATGAAAAACGTTAGAAACAAAAAGGTTAACTCAGGATTTGTAAGATTGGTTCTTCCTTATTATTCTTCCCCTATCAAAAAATAAGGGGAGTTCTATAAAAGTAGACTTGATGTGCCTAAACGCGAACTTAATTCTTTGAATTGGGGCGGAAATTCTTCAATAATTACCCTGGAGGTAGGAGGAATAATTTAAAAAATCCGAAGAATTTTAGAAAAATATGATTGAAAAGTTTTGTGATCTACGGAGTCCCCCTTCAGCTCCCTTCGACCCAGGGCCCGCTTCTGCTCACTATATATCTATTTAAATATGTATAAAAATGACAGGGCAGCAAGTGTTGGTGGTGGGTGGATCCTATTCAGCAGAAGACATAGCCCTGCAAACGATAGAGGCAGGAGCGGAGAGAGTGACCATATGCTACAGGACACAGCCAGTAGGGAACACATGGCCTCAGGGCATAGATCAGAGGGCCATACTCACACACATTCATGGCAGTACTGTTCAGTGAGTAATATAAGGGCTCTTTTCCTCTCCTCGCATTCGAATCTCCTTTCCCGAAAAAACTTAACATGTATTTTACTCTTCACTTGGAAAAAAAATAAAAGTAATATAAATTTTTAATTGAAATTTCTTTTAAGAAACCTCCGCTATATCTCTAAAACATGGTGCACTCAACGCTTATATGCCGATTCATAACTTCATTATTTCTTAAAGCTTTTTTAAAATTTGAGTTAGGTAACAATAAGTTATGCTTTGGGTTGAGGTAACAACAAACTTTTACCGGCACATTTCTTATGAGCTTTACAAATAGGGATTTCCACTATTTACTATCAGTAAATTGTGCACATAATAGATGAATAAAACCCATTTTGTGACTTTTTAATCTGATCATAGTGGTTCGTGAGTAATGAATAAACGTATATAACATCGGAAGGTAGCGTAAGCTTACACAAATTTCAACCAGATCAATTTTTTGAAAAACTCTGAAGTCTGAAACTTGAAAAACACCGTTTTTTACTGCTGCTCTTCAAATTGGGTATTGCAGGTACTGCATGCTTCGGTTGATTTTGAAAAGAAAGCGCTCACAAAGTTTTCTTGTTTTAAATAAACTGATACAGGTACCTTTTTTTCAGAAAAACTAAATTTGAAAACATTTTAATTCTAAAAACGGTTTTCCATTTTTCGATGGCTAAATATAGGTTGCCAGTCTAAATTTGGTTAAGTGAGATAGAAATTAATTCCACAAAAATCGAGTGCAAAGAAAACTTATTTTGTTTTTTTTTTGTTTAGCCCATTAGAATTTCTAAAAAAACTTGTTAGAGTAAGCAGTGTTTTGATTGCAGTGTAAGCTTGACAGCCCAAACTCTTTTTTTTTCTCATTTTTTGTTTTTTTTATTCCGCCTATTGAAAATAGAGAACGTCAGGTACCACAAATAAGCATCAGAATTGGTGTTTTATTATATTATGGCCCTTTCAGTTGTGATTCGATTGACTTTAAAACATTTCGAAAAAAATACTCTGTGTTAAGAAAAATCGTTTTGAAGTTTTTTTAGACTAGTCTATATCGAGATAAAAAGCAAGCAAGACTTTTTTTTAGAAGCAAAGGCCATAAAAGTTTCATTAAAGACCTGAAAACTTAGTTTTACTCCAGTAAAATTAGTTTTCGAAAACTTTTGCTCCATCTTGGGAATCAAATATTCTAAAAATTTAAAAACATTCTGCAAAAATTTCGGTGAAGTTTTTGTTCCGAAAATTGAAATGGAGAGGAATTTTATATTCGGGTGTGTTTTTTGTGGTTGTTTTTTTTTTCATGCAAAATTAGTTTTCGGTTTTGTTTGTTTTTCCACGCAAAATCAGGTATGGTAAAGGTATCTGATGTTTCCACGCAAAATCAGTGATATATCATTAACAGCTCGTTCAACTATGTATTGCGAAAAACCTGTTTAAAATTTTTGATTTTTGGTCTAATTGCAAGCGAATAAAGCGAGCGAGCAGGCCTGTTTGTGCTTAATTTAAGACGTTTGCGATAGTTTATTTGTGCCTCATTTTAGTTTTGACCGAGTTTTAAATTAGTGTTTGGAGTTTTTTAGCTGTATTTTGGGAATCAAAAATTTCGAAAAAATACAAAAAATTTGAAAAAATTTTGAAATTTTTTGGATTATTTGGTTTTTTTTGTTTTTTGTTTTTAATCACTTTTCTATGAAAAAATGTTTTCCAATGTGCATGTCCTGCTATGACTGTCGAATATGTCTAAATCTAATTTTTCAATAAAATATTTTGATCACATGTAGCAGAAAAAAAAATAAGACTATAAAAACAGAAGAAAAAACAAGACTAGGATTGTTATAACAAATATAGAAGTTGCAAAATAGTAGCCAACGGGGACATTTTACGTAGGCTGGGAGTTGAATTCTTGAGGGGAAGAGAAGATGAACTCCCCAACCTGACCTGATGTTGTTTTAAGCGATGGTTGGTTAAAGTCGCAAGTATATTATGAAATATTTTTTCAGTTTCGCCGACGGATCTCAGAGCAATTATGACGTCATTATTTACTGCACGGGATACTTGTTCAAATTTCCTTTTATGGAGGATAGTCTGAAGCTGGAGACAAAACAGAGAATGGCTCCGCCTCTCTACAAACAAGTAGTGTTTCCAGACAACCCTAAACTACTCTATATTGGAATGCAAGACCAGTTCTACACATTAACAATGTTCTGGCTGCAAGGACACCTTTGCGCCAAAATTATCAGTGGTAAGTTGTGTCCATAATAACCTCATGCAGCCTTTTCGCTCCTTATTTGTATCACACAGTAGAATTTTCACCTAGTTTTTTTCCAACTTCTGATGATTTGTGTAACTTTTTAACCGGCCCAAATTTTTTAAAGTCCTTTCTACTCTTTGTTAGCAGCTCGCAGCACGTTGGAGCGACTGCGGCGGTGAGTATAATTCGAGTTGTCCTTTGTTGCGAGTTCTCATGTTATGGGTACCGCGATTAGTAGTTACAAAAGCCAACTGGTAACAAAAGACAACTGGCAAAACTCAAGACAACTCGCTTTTCGAATTCAGAAATGAATTCAACTTGAAGGAAAACGACAACACGCAAATTTTGTCAATTCACTTAGAACTTAAGAATTTCGATTTAAGGTAGCCGGTTAGAGGTTTAGAGTTGAACAGATGTCAAATTGTTTCAGGTGAGGTCAAAATTCCATCTAAAGCTGAAATGCTAGCTGAAATAACGGAAAGACAAACGGAAGCAGAAAAGTTGGTTGAGAATATGGAAAAGATAGATTTTCAGACGAGATACGTAAACGAATTATCCGAAATAACAGGCTAGTCAATTTTGTTATTTAGCCAAAATTTTTTAATTACTCTATTTAACAAGCGCTGAAAAAGGCAATTTTTTTGCTTTACCGAAGATAATTCCGGAGAAAAAGGAAAAAGTTAATCTTTGAAATATTCATCCCTCACCCTTTTGTAAACGGAGGGATATTCGTAACACGGCATAAAATTCGTGTATGCTTAATTGTTGAGTTTGTTTTTTATAGTGGATGAAGTTAATTACTGGTTCCAAAAGTGAACACTGAAGAAGAAACTGCCTAATTGAACTAAATTTGTCAAATATCTGAACAATTTTCATTTTAATTTTAGCCCCCATATACTAGAAAACTAAACAAAAAATTGTGGGTAGTTCGTAAGCAATTAGGAGGACTTAACAGCAATTCATCATAAAGAACTGAACATTTGATGTCGAACGTTTGATGTCATACCCTCGTGAATATAATATCTTCTTAACTCTTGACCCGACTTGCACATTTATGTTCACCATTAGGCCAAGTGAGCGTTGATGCCAAAAAAGAGTTCGAACGGAGAGAGAAAGACAGAGCCGAGGATCCATCTGGTTACAAACTGAAAACTAACTACAATAGTTTGTACAAGAAATAAAATTTATTTTTTTTTTCCATGGATATTGTAAGTACACCTGCTCGGATCTAGGACAACAAGCCGACGGGACTTCAAGCCGAAGGGACTTCAAGCCGAAAATAAAACTTTACAAGCACCTCAAATTACTATTTTATCATCTGTAAAACGTTATTTTTCAAAAATTTTGGCAAGTTTAGTCCATAATAAACGTTATTCATGACAATGTACCGCTTGTGATTGGCATCCGTTAATAACATCAGCCGGTTTTTGAAATGCATAAATTATAAACATGAAAAATTCCTTCAACCATGTTTTGTTTTCAACTTTCCGAAAAGTCATTTGGAGGCTTAAATTTTATGAAAACGCCAATAACTTGTGAAGAACGATCATGAAGTTCAGAAATTCTTCAAAAAAGTTTTCAAATTAATCATATTTCCCGAGTTTATAAGGAACTATTCGGCTTGAAGTCCCGTCGACTTGATGCCCGGCACCCCACCTGCCCATATAAATTGCAAAGACCGTTTCTTTACAACGTTCAATAACTGTTTAATTCTTGGACAATACAGTGTTGATTTAAATTAACCGGACAAAACGCGTTAAACTTGAAATTTAAACGCATTTTTTTCAAATTGGGTTGAATTTAGTTGAAAACTTATAGGGCAAAACTTGCTTAGAATTTGTGCTGAAATTTGTTTTGCGAAATTCGGGTCCGAAGTTTTACCCCAAAAATGGGTCATTTTTGCTTTTCTTAGTTAGTCAAAAACTACGCCAACAACACCCAGTCGATCACAGACTTAATTATATCAAAGTGAGCCCCTTACGTAGCTCAACAAACTTTAAGCAGGGTATTTTCTCCAAAAAAATTTGAATATTTATTAAAAATTGTTTTTAAATAAAAAGTTGGTATTTTATATAGTAAAAATGACCTTTTTTGTCCAAACAAAAATAAATTAACTTATTCAATATTTTGAAGATTATACCCTTCTTAAAGTTTGTTGGGCTACCTAAGGGGCTCATTTTGATATAATTAAGTCTGTGATCGACTGGGTGTTGTTGGCGTAATTTTTGACTAACTAAGAAAAGCGAAAATGACTCATTTTTGGGGTAAAATTTCGGACCCGAATTTTGCAAAACAAATTACACCATATTAATTCTGCTAAAATTCTAAGCAAGTTTTGCCTTCTTAATTTTTCACCTAAACTCAACCCAATTTGAGAAAAATGCGTTTTAAATTTCAAGTTTAACGCGTTTTGTCCGGTTAATTTAAATCGGCACTGTACATTGATTGTTGCTCTCAATCTCACCACATCCTCACTGATCGTGAGTTGGATTCCATTAAAATGAACATGCAACTTGTCGCAGTGACAAAAAACTGCTCAGATTTGTACAGTTCAGATTGAATAACCGCCAGAAAAATGCATGAGTAGTGCAAGCACCACAGAACAAATATCTGATTTTGCTATCTGTTTTTGCTTTGTTAGTGTCGTCTTTAGGATTTTCACACACAGTCTTGCGAAGCTATCCCTTTTACCGTGCTAAAGCAGGGGGCACTAAGGCTCGGTATTAACGACAATCCCGAAAGGGTTATTTTAGTGGTAAGTTGTCCTCTACTGTATTCTATTGCCCCCCCCCCTTGGTCAGTGATGCTCTTGCTCGCTATATCTCGCTTGAAGTCGCGTATAACGAAATCCTTTCTCTCAAATGAATTCAATATATATAAGTCTGAATGAATACAAAGGGCCTAATAGTTCGGCCAGCGTATAATTTCTTCAACAATTTCTTCTCTGCGTACTCGGTCAGTACACGTGTCGACTAAGCTCTCTGTCTTGTGCTAGCTTCTGCTCTAACTAATACTCCACAAGGCACTTCGACTTGCGTTCTTACTTCACTCGCTGTGAAACAATTAACTGATGAGTTCAGATAGCGACCACAACTGGGACCTACTGAATCTTACGCTCGTTAACTCGTTCTCTTTAAAATCCGCTCTCTAACCTCCACTTCTTATCTCTATTTGTGCTCCGTTTTGGTTAAAGTCACGCCACTTCATATCGGTGCTGTCATCCCCTTAATCACAACCGCCCCCTATGGTTTTCCCTTTTACCTACTCCCCCTGTCAAAGCTGACGGGTCCCAAGTCCGGGGTTTTTATCGACTTGTTCACGTTTTGTAAATACATCCCGCTGCGGTTGGCATCGTAAATCGGGTAAGTACCGAAATCGTATGATTCTTATCAGTTAAATCCCCCCTTCGCTACTTACTTAAATACCAACTGACTTCGGTGTCAAATCTTGACCCAAGCAACAAAGTCATACGATCCCAATAAACTAACCATAACCCGATTTTGAGCCAAATTTACTAATATTTTCCCTATCATGTTAGGATGAAATACACGGTCGGTAAGTCAAAAACTTGCTAGAATTACCGATTCTACAGTCTTCCCTTCTATTCTATTATTCTCCCGAATAATGTTAGGTTTTTCTCTCCCCCCTTTTTTTCCTTCATTAAATACTGAATTACTGACTATATGCAATCTATACTTTATTTAGGTGTAAGCCATATTTAAGTTTAAGTTTAAGCTATAAGTTTAATCAGTTCCTTCATTTATAAATTCCTTGGTTATTAGCGAGAGTTTATAAACTGTCCTCTCCTAACTTTCGGCCCCCGAATTGGTTGAGGATTCGTCATATTCGTCTGACCAATTCCCCTCTCCCCCATTGGGCCTGGAGCGCCCGATATTCTTCCTCCCCAATGGTATGTCTCATTTCGTCAAAGAGGTCCCTAATTTTGGGGCTATCACTGGGCCTCCTCCTCCTAGCCCTTGCTTGATCCACCTTTTTACTCTCGTGGAGCTCCTTTTGTGCTTGTCGACGAAGGTCGTAGCTCGGTTCTTCATCTCGTAGAGCACGGCCTCTATTTCATTAATTTCGTACTCAATGCCTTTGAATGCCAGGTAGGTTAGATTCACAAATGCTTCCGTAGTGATGTTGTCACCGCAGATCTTGCCATCCCATTCTTTCCAGCGATCCGCCAACATATACTGATGTTCCTGGAAGGCTATATCGAGGAGTGTCCGATTAATCGCAGGGACCGCGGGGAATGGTACCGAAACCCAAGAAGTTTCCATTGCGCTCGCAATGATGAGGGGAGTCTCCGCCATGAACACTGCTCCGGCGGTATGGTTGATCGTCACTGCCGATGAGGGCCATACTCCAAGTAGCAAGAGGATTACCAGCCCGACCAGCCATGAGTTCATATGTAGATTACAATTTACGATCTAAACAGCAATAATAATAAAAAAGAAAGACTAAATGAATAAGACCATCGCATCCCTAAGTATCTGATTTTCCCCTGGAATTTGGAAAACCTATAACCATTAAAGTATAACCATTAATTTGAATAAAGATTTCCCTTAAGTTTTAAGTTTTGGTCTCCCCCCTTATGAGGTTATAGCAAAAAAAATAATTTTTTTTTAATTTTTTTTTTTTGGAATGCCCTATTTTTAAAATTTTTTTTGAGGTCCTTATTTATCTAGCTAATAAGTATAACGGGGAAAGAAAGTTTTAATAGTGTTTGTTTGATTGGTGTTGGAGTTAGCCCCGCTCGAACTCGTCAATCCCAAAGCGAACAGGAGGTCGCCGTCTACGACTAGGTCGGCCCTCGCCCTCTGCCTCGGGCTCTTCACTCAACTCCAAGGACTCGTTAGGTTCTGGTGGAGCAAGTTCCTGGTCCGCTGGCGCGTTCGGATGGTCGTCTTACCTTCTGGTCTCCAGTTCGGCTGCGTCGTAAGTCTCCACTACTTCGGCTTCGATTTGGTTCGGATCCTCTATTGGGTTAGGGCTCTCTAGGGGTTTGTCGTTCAACCGGGCATTCGGAGGTAGTCGTGGGGTAGGTAACCTCAATGATCTTAACTCGTGGGTCTCTCCAATAGCCATTTCCAACTCGTCGTCTCTAATTCCAGGGTCGTCAAAGAATCTGACCGACCGTGAAGGGGTCGGACGCTTAGGGTGGGAAGCCTCGTTGGATTGCGGGTTGTCCTCTACATACGGCTTCAACATGTTAAAATGCAAATACCGGACCTTTGCGGGGGTGGAGGGTTTGGCCACCTTGTAATTCACTTCAGAGACTTTGGCCAAGACCACATAGGGCCCATCGCATGGTAGGAAGAACTTCTTCGGCTTTATCTTCTCTTTCGCCCAAACCCACACTTTGTCCCCCGTCGCGTACGGTTCTCCATGAATTCTTTTCCGATATTGATCCTTCTGGCGTCGCTGATTAGCTCCCAGTAGCCTTCGAGCGCTGCTATGGGCGTCTTGGAATTGCTCGTCGAGCCATTCTACAAACCCATCCTGTGTCGGAACTTCGTCGTAGGGTTTTGGGTAGAACAGGTCGATTGGGTACTGGCATTCCTGTCCATGTACTAGATTGAAAGGGGTCGCACCGGTTTTTCGGTGGATGGTAGTATTATAGACGAAATTCAAGTAGGGCAATACTGTATCCCATGTCCAGGGGTTGTCCGCGCAGTACTTTGAAATGACGTCCGCGATTACCCTATTGTGACGTTCTACCTGTCCATTGCCTTGGGGGTGGTACGGGGAAGTGCGGGATTTATCGATCCCCAGCAGTCGGCACATTTCGAGGATGAGATTACTCCCAAAGTTCTTCCCTTGATCGGTGTGCAGGATGTTCGGTGTCCCAAACTTGAGTACCCAGTTCTCGACTATCTCCGGGGCCACCTCTGCCGAATCCGTGGATACAAGTGGGACGGCAATTGCATACTTCGTGAACAAGTCCGTCATCACTAAGATGTGCTTCGCACGAGACTTTGCTGCCAACGTCACGGGCCCTAGAATGTCCGCCGCCAATGTGTTGAATCGGATCCCCACTTTAAACGGGACAAGCCCAGCGACCCTCTTTTTTCCTCCTGTGCTCCGCGCTGCACAAGTGAGGCACCATTATATTTTCTTCTCCACGTCTTTCCTCATAGTGGGCCACCAGAACAGTTGAAGAATTCGAGCGAGGGTC